GCTACTTGGGAGGCTGAGACAGGAGAATCGCTTGAATCTAGGGGCAGAGGTTTCAGTGAGCTGAGATGCACTCTAGCCTGGCAACAGAGCGAGACTCCATCTCAAAAAAGAACCACAAGAATTCCCTGAATTGCCAGGCAGAGATTCTTGTACTCTTCCCTTACTTTCTTCTAAACAAATGGGGACTCTCTCTGTCTCTCTCTGCTGAGCTGCCTGGAGCTGGGGGGATGTGTGTCACAAGCACTCCTGTGACCCCCACTGGGACTGTGCTGGGTCAGACCTAAAGCCAGAACAGCACTGGGTCTCACCCAAAACCCACTATAACCACTACCCAGCTACTGCCTATGTTCACTCAAGGACCTAGGGCTCTATAATCAGCAGGTGGTAATGTGCTCTTCCTTCCAGGACAGCAAGTTCTCCCTAGTCCTAGACAGGTCTAGAGGTGCCATTCGGGAGACAGAGTCGTGAGTTGGAAGCCTTAGGTATCTACCTAGTGCTCTATTCTACTGTGGCTGAATTGGCACACAAGCAACAAAACAAAGCCCTTCCCACTTTTTCCTCCCCCTTCCACAAGCAGAGGACTCTCTCCCCATGGCCACCGCCACCACAGACCAGTGGGGAACACTGCCAGGCTATCACCAATGTTTAGTTAAGGCACAAGGACTCTTCAGTCAGCTTATGGTGAATGCTGCCAGGCCCAGGACTCACCCTTCAAGAAAGTGGGTTCCCCTCTGTTCCAGGGCAGGTCCAGAAATGTCATCCAGGAACCAAGACCTACAATCAGGGACCCCAAGCACCCACTTATTGCTCTACCCCATTGTGACTGAGCTGGTCCTAAGCTGCAAGACAAAGTCCCATTGACTCTTTCCTCTACTTTTCTCAAGCAGGAGTCTCTCCCCATAGCCACAACAGCTGGAGATGTGCTTGGGTCATACCTGAGACCAGCATATCTCAGAGTCTCACCTAAGGTTCACAGAATGTATTACTTGGCTACCACTGCTGATTATCCAGGGTCCAGGGTCTCTTTAGTCAGCAGGTGATGAATCCTTCCAGAACTGGGTCCTTCCGTTCAAGTCGGGGGATTTGATTCTGGCCTAGGGTATGTCTAGAAATGTCATCTGGGAACTAGGGTCTGAAATTTGGACCTCAGGACTCTGTGCAGTGGCCTATCCTACTGTGGCTGAGCTGCTATCCAAGTTACAAGACAAAATTCTCTTTACTCTTCCCTCTCCTCCCCTCAAGTGGAAGGAATGAGTCTCTTTTGGAACTGTGAGCTTCACTACCTAGAGTTGGGAGGGGGTAGCATATGTACTCCCTTGGTTGCACTGGCTGGTGTGCCCATGTGCCCCCTAAGTCCACTGGCTCTGAGCCCAGAACAGCACTAGGATTTGCCTAGAAGTTGCATTCCTTGTGGCCTAGACTGCCTTTCAAGTTTTTTTAGGGCCTCTATTAGTCCATTTTCACACTGTTGATAAAGACATACCTGAGACTAGATAATTTGTAAAGAAAAATAGGTTTAATGGACTCACAGTTCCACGTGTCTGGGGAGGCCTCATGATCATGACAGAAGGCGAAAGGCATGTCTTACATGGTGGCAGGCAAAGAGAGAATACGAATCAAGTGAAAGGGGTTTCCCCTTATAAAACCATCAGCTCTTGTGAGACTTATTCTCTACCACTAACACAGTATGGGGGAAACTGCCCCCATGATTCAATTATCTCCCACTAGGTCCCTCCCACAACATGTGGGAATTATGGGAGCTACAATTCAAGATGAGATTTGGGTGGGGACACAGCCAAACCATATCATTCCACCCCTAGCCCCTCTCCAATCTCATGTCCTCATATTTCAAAACCAATCTTGCCTTCCCAACAGTTCCCAAAGTCTTAACTCATTTCAGCATTAACTCAAAAGTCCACAGTTCAAAGTCTTACCTGAGACAAGGCAAGTCCCTTCCACCTATGAGCCTGTAAAATAAAAAGTAAGTCATTACTTCCTAGATACAATGGGGCTACAGGCATTAGATAAATACACCCATTCCAAATGGGAGAAATTGGCCAAAACGAAGGGGCTGAAGGCCACATGCAAGCCTAAAATCCAGTGGGGCAGTCAAATCCTAAAGCTCCAAAATTATCTCCTTTGACTCCATGTCTCATATTCTCATATCCAGGTCACACTGATGCAAGAGGTGGGTTCCTGTGGTCTTGGGCAGCTCTGCCCTTGTGGCTTTGGAGAGTATAGCCTCCCTCCCAGATGCTTTCACAGGCTGGTGTTTAGTGTCTGTGGCTTTTCCAGGCTCACAGTGCAAGCTGTTGGTGGATCTACCATTCTGGCATCTGAAGGATGGTGGCCCTCTTCTCACAGCTCCACTAGGCAGTGCCCCAGTGGGGACTCTCTATGGGGGCTCTGACCCCACATTTTCCTTCTGCACTGCCCTAGCAGAGGTTCTCCATGAGACCCTGACCCTGCAGCAAACATCTGCCTGGACATCTAGGCATTTCCACACATCCTCTGAAATCTAGGTGGAGGTTCTCAAACCACAGTTCTTGACTTCTGTGTACCCGCAGGCTCAACACCATGTGGAAGCTGCTAAGGCTTGGGGCTTGCATGCTCTGAAGCCATGGCCTGAGCTGTACCTTGGCCTGTTTTAGCCATAGCTATAGCAGCTGGGATGCAGGGCACCAAGTCCCTAGGCTGCACACAGCAGGAGGGTCCTGGGCCCAGACCACAAAACCATTTTTTCCTCATAGGCCTCTGGGCCTGTGATGGGAGGGGCTGCCGCAAAGGTCTCTGACATGCCCTGGAGACATTTTTCCAATTGTCTTAGCAATTAACATTTGACTCCATGTTATGTGTGTAAATTTCTGCAGCCAGCTTGAATTTCTCCTCAGAAAATGGGTTTTTATTTTCTATTGCATCATCAGGCTTCAAATTTTCTGAACTTTTATGCTGTTTCCCTTTTAAAACGAAATATTTTTAACCGCACCCAAGTCACCTCTTGAATGCTTTGCTGCTTAGAAATTTCTTCTGCTGGTTACCCTAAATCATCTCCCTCAAGTTCAAAGTTCCAAATCTCTAGGGCAGGGGCAAAATGCCACCAGTCTCTTTGCTAAAACATAGCAAGAGCCACCTTTTCTCCAGTTCCCAACAAGTTCCTCATCTCCATCTGAGACCACCTCAACCTGGATTTCATTGTCCATATCATTATCAGCATTGTGGTAAAAACTATTCAATAAGTCTCTAGGAAGTTCCAAACTTTCCCATATTTTCATGTATTTTTCTGAGCCCTCCAAACTATTCCAGACTCTGCCTTTTACCCAGTTCCAAAGTCACTTCCACATTTTTGGGTATCTTTACAACAGTGCCCCTCTCTACAGGTACCAATGTAGTGTATTAGTCTGTTTCACACTGCTGATAAAGACATACCTGAGACTCTGTAATTTATAAAGAAAAAGAGGATTAATGGACTCACAGTTTCGCATGGCTGGGGAGGCCTCTCAATCATGGTGGAAGGCAAAGGCATGTCCTACATAGTGTCAGGCAAAGAGAAAATGAGAATCAAGCAAAAGGGGTTTCCTCTTATAAAATCATCAGATATTGTGAGACTTACTACCATGAGAACAGTGTTCATGGGGGAAACGGACCCCATGATTCAATGATCTCCCACTGGGTCTCTCCCACAACACGTGAGAATTATGGGAGCTATGATTCAGGTGAGATTTGAGTGGGAACACAGCTAAACCATATCAGTGCCTCAGAGCACTTTAGCTGTCTGTGGCAAGGCTTGCCAGAACTCAAGTTCCAACCACTGGGATGGACAATTTCCCAGTGGGTAGCAATGATCTAAATGATCCTTTTGTGAGTATCAGCTGAGTTCTGCCCAGTGTTACTTTTTGCTGTGACAGGCAGCACTGGGTTCAAATGCAAAGTCCCACAATCACTGAACTCTTTCTCCCCTCCCACAACTGCACAAATTCACTCTCTGCACCACGTGACTGCTCTCTGAAGATAAGGAAGGATTGGCACCAGCAATTCACGACTGTCTTTCCTACCCTCTTCAGTGTTTCTTTCACTGATATGAAGTTAAAATCAGGCACTGTGATTGCTCACTTGATTTTTGCTTTTTATGAAGGTGATTTTGTGTGTGTGTATAGATAGCTGTTTAATTTGCTGTTTCTCTGGGGAAGATGAAAAGAGGCTTCTCTTCAGCCATCTTGCTCCGTCTCCCTGCTTACTGTTTTAAATGAACACATATGTAACTTCCAGAGCCTGTGTTTTTTTTTTACCTTGACAATTACAATGAACATTATTTTAGAAGCAATAATTAAATCTATCTAATTATGAATATCCGAGTCTACGAATGTTGTATATTTTCATGATTAGAAATATATCCTCACTATATTTTTTTCTATCTTGTAACTTTTGTATCTTATGCCTATTTTTTATTCAGTTTCAGTGTACCTATATGCTATTCTTGGATTTTTAAGTGTCCTTTAAGAAAAAGCAATATAGTATTGAACTAACTTCATATTTATTGGTAGAATGACCAGAGTGCTTTAATTTAATGGGTTATCCATCATAGAGGAATCAAATGAAATTGTAGATATGAAAGTGCTTTGAACAGTAATAGGCCAGGTGCGGTGGCTCATGCCTGGATTCTCAGCACTATGGGAGGCTGAGGCAAGTGGATCACGAGGTCAGGAGTTCAAGACCAGCCTGGCCAAGATGGTGAAGCCCCGTCTCTACTAAAAATACAAAAATTAGCCAGTTGCAGTGGCAGGCGCCTGTAATCCCAGCTACTCGGGAGGCTGAGGCAGGAGAATCGCTTGAACCCAGGGTGCAGAGGTTGCAGTGAGCCGAGATTGCGCCACTGCACTCCAGCCTGGGCTGGAGTGAGACTCCGTCTCAAAAAAAAAGAAAGAAAAAGAAAACAGTAATAAGCTACACATATGTAAAGCTATATTATTGTTATTATTCTTTTGAGAAATATCATAAGAAAATTATGATGTGTGACTGGGCACAGCATCACTCTCACTGTCATTGAGGTGAACCAGACCACTGCTTTGACTCAGGTCAAGGGACAAAAGCCTGGTGCAGTTGTCAAGGTGCTTTATTCCACTTGTATCAGTGGCATTTTTTCAAAAAAACCAAAGCTTCTAATGTGGGTAAGTTTCTGAGGAGGTTACACACTGTGTTCAAGTTTAAGTGACCCCCTCTAAGCTTCCTGTTACTGAGATCCATTTCCCTTAGATTTTGCAGGTGTTTGGCTGGAAGCATCTCTAATTTTACCAATGTTCCACTCAGATTGAAACTCCTAAGTTGGGACGGAGTTTCCAGATACACATTCTGGATGAGTTGATAGCTATCCTGAGAAACATCCAGAGTAGTCAGATTAGGCAATGACAGAGTAGAGAAATTTAACTCCATTAGCTTGTTCCCCTGCAGGCTCAGATGGGTCAGAGAGAGTAATAACCTGGAGTTGTTGTTCAAGGAAATGATGCTGTTACTAGAAAGATCAAGGCATTCCAGGCATGGAAGATGCTGGACTGCTTCAAGAATATTGGAAAAGTTGGTAATAATGTTTCGAGATAGGCTTAAATGTTTCAATTTGATAACAGGGACAAAAGCAGTATTGCAAATATGGGTAATTTCATTGTGGCTCTCAGGAGCAGGGTTTCCAAGTTGGACAGGCCCTCAAAGAAGTTGTTCACACTTTGAATCTTATTTTCTACTAAATTCAAAAGGGCCAGGTTTTCAAGTCCCCAAAATCCTCCCTCACCAATCTTCCAAATGGAATTCCACTCCAGTTGCAAGTCCACCAGAGCAAACAAATTAGCGAAGCTATGGGGAACAAGGATCTGAATTTGGTTCTGTGTCAGATTGAGGTGAGTAGCATATCCAGAGATGTCACTAACCGCATCTGTCAAGTTGGCAATCTTCTTCCGAATGCAGAACACATGATGTCCAATTGACACTGTGTGCATTTACTGAACTCATATGTCTCTGCCAAAGGCAGCAGAGAAAGCTCAATTAAAATGAGCCAGAGCTGTTGAAGAGGCAGGAGACTCTTTAAACCCATCTTGTTAGTCCCAGGCCTTAGAGTTACTCTAAGAAAAAAAAACTCTTTGCATGTATCATGCTCATGTTTGAAGAAATGGCCTTTCCATTTTGACTTTGCCACAAAGAAAAGAGAAAGTTGTTTAGTTTACATTTCTGTCTCCTAACAAATATTTCATAACTTTTTCAAGGAAACTAAAGAGCTTTGCCTAAAGTTAACTTCCAAAATAAATTCATCTCCAAAGCACTCTATGTGTATTAGCAAGGACTACTATTCTTTCTCCTACAGCCAAAATTGTCACCACATGGACACAGAGAAGGCAATTGCATACCTAATTTAATTTAGGAGAATTAACAAGTTTCCAAACCCTCCTCTCACCTCTGCACAGTAAAACAGCTCTCTCTTCACCACTGGAGAGGCCTGTGGAGTGGAGGGTCTATGAATCTCAGTCTAGTTAAAAGATAATCATCCATGATAGGAGCAAAAAAAAAATCAAGGTTTACAGGCCACCTCTACCTTAATGTGAATAAATACAGGAGTCCTTGATTTAAAGCCACTCATTTCACCACAATTTGCATTTATATACATCAGACAACTATACCTATTATCAGTATATTACATTCACAGTAAACCTAAAAATATACAGCTACAATCAACTTAAATCTGTCAAGCTACTTGCCAATGTGTGCTGCTCAAGGTTTCTCCAGCCTTGCCTCCTGGGTTCAACCTATTCCCACAGTCACTTGTGGTGATGTAGTGAAAAGAATCTCCAGCTCAGACAGACCTGAGCTCCAATTCAGTGTCCTTTCACAAATTATTTAAACTCTCGGAACCTGTTTCCTTATCCATATAATGGGATAATAATAATACCTACTCCCTCATAACATTGTGATGATTCAAAAAAGACAACTTAAAGTGCCCAGCTTGTGCCTAGTACACTGTGAAGCTCACTAAAAGGTTCTTCTCTTTTTTTCTCTTAACTGTAGGCCAACACCAGTACACCCTCTTTGTGTGGATCTTCTAGCGCTTGTATTAAGAGCACTGGTGGCCACAGAGGAAAGAGAGAAACAGTATAGTTGACTGGGCTTCTTTCCTTTGTATATATTTTCATATGCACACAAAGATATATAATATACTTGCTAGCACTGTTTGTAATTCTTGGAATCACAGGACAAATATCCACTACAGAAACTGGCAATATATATGTATATGTTGTAAAATAAAAATCTGAGGCACGATAAAATGTTAAAGAGTTTATTTGAGCAGGAAGCAATTCATGAGTTGAGGAACATTAAACTGAAAAAGGTTTGGTGTTCTGATGACAAAATGTATTGGGAAGATGCAGCAGCAAAATAAATAAATTATTTGATTTGTTTGCAATTACAGAATTGCCTTTTTTAAGATACCTTGTTGGAAAGTTCCTAGTCACATAATAATATGTTAGTTGGCTGCTTATGATTGGCTGATGTTAAGTTTTATTTTAGTCTAACATAAGCATTTATCAGCAATGACCCAACTTAAGTTTCACTTGTGTTTGCAATTTAAGCAAGACTTAGGTCACATATGAGGCTTAACTGGTTTTGTCTTCTCAAGGATTTTTCGGGCCTGGTCTCCATTTTAATTTGCTTTAACAAAGTACACCCTAAGAAATGCGAATTTCTGGGATAGGTACATTTATAATCAGGGCAGTATTACACTGAATACAGTCACAAAACATGACCTTGAAAATCTTTTATAAGTAATGTAAGCCACTTCCTGAAGTCTGTAATATTAAGACTCTCAAGTGTAGTGCACCAGATGGCCCATCTGCTTACAACATCGGTAACTTGGTATTATCCACTTTAATACTTTTTGTGATACTGGTGGCATTAAAGTGATATCTCATTATCTTTTATGGACAATCACTTCTTATAAATAGTGACAATCACTATTTATCTCATTTCTTTTCTTCTCCTTCCCCTTTTTCTTTTTGATCCTCCTCTTCTGACATATAACTAGAGAATGTGTTATGAGTTTCCAAACAGCTGGACTGTCAGGCTGCTTTTTTTCACAGATGTTTCTCCTTTGCCTTCCCTTCCCCTCTTTCCCTCCCTTTTCCTTCCTTCATTCTTTCCTTGAAGCAGTAAGCACCATTTTGGAAGCTTGAGAGAAACTAAAATGAGAGAGAGAGGGAGAGAGAGAGAGAGAACAAACACATACAAAAGAAAAGAGAAGGAAACATGACATGATGACATGAAGCTGGTGATCCAAGAAAGTGGAGCAGGAGGGAGGGTTAACCATTTTGCCTATGCTGAACCAAGGGAAGAATGGGAAGCAGGAAGAGGAGGAAGGGAAAGGGGAGATATCAGAAGAAACATTGCAGGCAGAGGGATGAGGGGACACGGAGACAATTTAATACAACTTGAGACAAGACAGTTTGGCTGGTGAGGTCCTGATGTGATATCTGAATGTTTGTGATTTTAAGAATCTTTCCATATATTTGATAGCCACTTGGACTTTTCTTTCAGTGACCTGCTTATTTATTTATTTATTTATTTATTGAGACGGAATCTCACTCTGTTGCCCAGGCTGTAGTACAGTGGTACCATCTTGGCTCACTACAACTTCCATCTCCCGGGTTCAAGCAATTCTCCTGCCTCAGCCTCCCAAGTAGCTAAGATTACAGGTGTGCACCGCCATGCCTGGCTAATTTTTGAGTCTTTAGTAGAGACAGGGTTTCATTATGTTGGCAAGGCTGGTCTCGAACTCCTGACCTCAAGTGATCCACCTGCCTCATTCTCCCAAAGTGCTAGGATTAAAGGCATGAGCCACAACACCCACTCTGCTTATTTGTATCTTTTCTTTATTTTTCTATTGGATTTTGGGGTTTTAAAAAAATGATTTGTAGGCATTCATGCACATTCTGATATTGATCCCTTGTTGGTTTTAATGTTTTAAATATCTTCTGTCATATATCATTTAATATTGTCAATGATGTCCTTTGTTGACCAGAAAATTTTAATCATGGTAAGGTAAAAAGTCATCATTTTTTTGGTTTTAAGGTTTTTCTTTTGAACTCCTGTTTAAAATATTTTGCCTCCTTAGATTACATGGATACTGTACACTTGGCTTTGCTTTTCCCACTTATGTCTAATTTTCCTAAATTCAATTTTTCCATATAGTAGTATAAGGTAAGGATCCAGCTGTATTTTCCCATTAGTGAATTAGCTCACTACAAACTAAAATAATCTATTGCTGTTCCAATGCTTTGAGGCATATCTTTATGATATATCAAATTATCATATATACTTGAATGTATTTTTTTAATTTGGGGGGCACATAAATGTATATTTGTATGGGATACATGAAATATTTTGATACAGGCATATAATGTATAATAATTACATTAGGGTAAATGGGGTATATCCATCATCTCAAGCATTTATTCTTTGTGTTACAAACAATCCAATTATACACTTTTAGTTATTTTTAAATGTATGATTGGCCGGGCACAGTGGTTCACACCTGTAATCCCAGCACTTTGGGAGGCCGAGGCAGGCGGATCACCTGAGGTTAGGAGTTCAAGACCAGCCTGGCCAACATGGTGAAACCCTGCCTCTACAAAAATACAAAAATTAGCAGGGTTTGATGGTGGGCGCCTGTAATCCCAGCTACTTGGGAGGCTGAGGCAGGAGAATCTTTTGAACCCAGGAGGCGGATGTTGCAGTGAGCCGAGATAAAGCCATTGCACTCCAGCCTGGGCAACAGAGCGAGACTCTGTCTCAAAAAAAAAAAAAAAGTATGATTAAGTTATTATTGACTATAGTCACCTTGTTCTGCTATGAAATAGTAGGTCTTATTTATTGTATTTTTTTGTACCCATTAACCATCCCCACCTCCCCATCACCTCCCCACCACATTTCCCAGCCTCTAGTAACCACCATTCTACTCTCTATCTCTATGGGTTCAATAGTTTTTATTTTTAGATCCCACAGATAAGTGAGAACATGTAATGTTTGTGTTTCTGTGCCTGGCTTATTTCACTTAATATAATGACCACCAATTCCATCCATGTTGTTACAAATGACAGGATCTCATTTTTTTTTATGACTGAAAAAGATCATTGTGCATATATACCACATTTTCTTTTTCCATTAGTCTGTTGATGAAGACTTACGTTGCTTCCAAATCTTGGCTATTGAGAATAGTGCTGTTACAAACATGAGACTGCAGATATCTCTTTAATATACTGATTTCCTTTCTTTTGAGTATATACCCAGCAGTGGGATTGCGGGATCATATGGTAGCTCCGTTTTTAGTATTTGAGGAACATCCAAACTGTTCTCCTTAGTGATTCTACTATTTTACATTCCCACCAACAGTGTATGAGGGTTCCCTTTTCTCCACATCCTCGTCAGCATTTGTTATTGCCTGTCTTTTGGATAAAAGCCATTTTAGGATGGGTGCGGTGGTTCACGCCCGTAATCCCAGCGCTTTGGGAGGCCGAGGAGGGCGGATCACTTAAGGTCACGGTTCGAGACCAGCCTGGCCAACATGGTGAAACCCCATCTCTATTAAAAATACAAAAATTGGGCTGGGCACAGTGGCTCAAGCCTGTAATCCCAGCACTTTGGGAGGCCGAGAGGGGCGGATCATGAGGTCAGGAGATCGACACCATCCTGGCTAACACGGTGAAACCCCATCTCTACTAAAAAATACAAAAAACTAGCTGGGCGTGGTGGTGGGCGCCTGTAGTCCCAGCTACTCGGGAGGCTGAGGCAGGAGAATGGTGTAAACCCAGGAGGTGAAGCTTGCAGTGAGCTGAGATCCGGCCACTGCACTCCAGCCTGGGTGACAGAGCGAGACTCCGTCTCAAAAAAAAAAAAAAAAAAAAATACAAAAATTAGCCGGGCATGGTGGCAGGCTCCTGTAATCCCAGCTACTCAGGAGGCTGAGGCGTGAGAATCGCTTGTACCCAGGAGGTAGAGGTTGCAGTGAGCCAAGATCATGCCCCTGCACTCCGGCCTGGGCATTAGAGCAAG